GAGGTGACAGGTGAACAGGCCCAAAAGTATGTATTTCTGTATGTGGATATACAGACTATATCTTAAAACTTTGGTACATAATATTTTCCCATAAAAACAGATTTTATCTCATTACAATATCAAAATATTTATTTTCAAATAGAAAACAAATAATTTCATCCTACTATTGGGAAAATAATCATTGTTAACACTGCATTTAAATCCTTCCAGATCTGCTTCTTAGTGTGTGGATGTGTATTTTTTTTATTTTTTCCTCATGGAATCACTTTGTATATAGTTTTCTTAATTGCTTAAAAAAAAAAAAAAAGACTTAATATTTAGTTTTCTAAAATTGTTCCCATCAACACATTTTTATTTATAGCAGTGTTCTTCAAATTGTCCATAGGATATATCATGCGTCGCCTGTAGTGACCTGGGCAGGATGTTAATGGAAGGGCTCTGTGTTTCACCAGACACCCTTTACCACTATAATTCTGCTTGTCTTTGTTTTACATATTTGATATGGAACAAAAAAAAAAAAGAAAAAAGAATCCCACTGCCAGGATGTTAACAAGCAACTGATTCACTGCACTGATAGTCTTTTTCCATTCTCCATGTTTATAATAATACACAATAAGATCATAACTAAATGAAGGCGCTAGTAATATGGGATGCCACACTTTTTACTCTATTTGATAGTGCTTTTAGGAGTGCTTGGCTGATGCAAACAATTAAGTACTTGACTACTAGCTATAAGATTGTTGGTTCAAACCTATCCAGAGGTACCTCAAAAAACAGGTCTGGTGATCTGCTTTTGAAAGTCCACAGCTTAGAAAACAGTTGGACTCTGATGCACATGAGGCTGCTATAAGTCGGAATCCACCTAATGGCAACAGGTATATCTCAAACTCAAGGCACAAATCTGGAAGTCATAATAGATAACTAACAGCCTTTACTCTTCATCTCCAATGCCAGGGCTTCACTACAGCCTTCAACATTTCTTGTTTTTCTAATGGGATCCAATCTAATCTCCATATCTACACACTCATCTCCCTGAAGCCTGTTCCTTACAGTGTTCTTCCTCTGATACAAGGCGATAAAAAATTGCCACACCTAAGACTCAATGGGAGTCCTGGTAGGGCACTATAGGATAGGCACTAGACTGTGAACTGCAAGGTCAGTGGTTCCAAACCACCAGCTGTTCCTTGGAAACCCTATGTAGGTCGCTATGAGTCAGAACCAACTCGACTGCACTAACAAGACTCAATGACTCCTTCATCGCCTACAGCAAGGGCCCTCTGACTGAGAATACCAGCAAACTGAGCTTTACAAAAACACAGAGAATCAAGGATCAATCCTATGCCCTCTGTACACAAGGGTGATAGGGACGGACAACTTAGACATTGGCTACCTAAAACATGGAGGCAATATAGGCACGGAGTGGCTGGCTTACAAGTTTAAATGAGGGAATTTAGTTTCAGAGTGTGCTGGTGTGGTGCTATGGGTTAATGCGCCAGAGTGCAAAGCCATTTGAACTGCAAAGTCAGCAGTTCAAATTCACCAGCTGTTCCTTGGAAACCCTACACAGGGTTGCTATGGGTTGGAATCGACTTGACGGCACTCAACAACAACAAGGGGAAGGAAGAACCCCCAATGAATAGTTTTCATCTTGTCTGGATGGGTCTGGTGAAAGGAGATAAGGGCTAAGATTCTTATGACTCAATAATGAGTAATTGTTATCATGGCTAATTGTGACTGTCACAACTGTAAAGGTAGAAGTTTTGTAACAAAAAGGGGGGAGTAGTTAATTTTACAGTACAGGAATAGAGGACCCTAGGACCAAGGGAGAAGAGTATGAGCTGAATGTGGGACCCTACCCAGAGAAGCAGCGACACCAGAGATGGAGGCAAAGAGGATGACATGGAGGGATAGAGCAGCTATGACTCTAGACTCATGGAAAGAGAAAGACTGTGTGCTGGCTGCCAGGAGGCAGGCTTGCAGAATGTGTCCTCTGGTTGGTTGTTTAAATGATTATATATTCCTGAGTGTTTCTGTGTACATTAATAAAACAACAACAACAAAGGGAACAGAAGCAAATACAGTTTAATGATGATGCATGGAGGGGATTGCAATAATTGCAATTATACGAAATAGGATGAGTGTAAAATCAACGTTCTCCCATGTAAACTATCATTCAATTCACCATAAAAACTTAAAAAAAAAAAACAAAAAAACACCACAAAGAACCCTCCCCAGACTTACTGAATATGAATATGAATTTCCAAAGTGGGGTCCAAAAAGCTGTAGTTTTTTAAAGCTACCTAGGAAATGCTAATGGTCATCTAAGTTGGAAGACACCAACTTTAAAGGTAAAATTCAAATTCTGTTCATGATTTGACCCTTCATCTGATCCCCAGTTTCATCCCTTAACATACATGATGCTCTAGTAATATGGAGCCAGGGCTAGTGACTTTTCAAGCCCACATTGCTTTAACATCTCTCTGACAAGAATGTTCTTGTTCCCTTCACTTCCTGGGAAACTCCTATTCATTTTTCACAAATCCTATCCAAACATCATCTAGCAAGCTGTTCAGTCAGTGAGCATCTGTTGAGGATCTCTAACATTTCAGACTACAAGTTAAACATTGATACATAGTGATCAGTAAGATTAGTAAGGATCCCTGGTGGTGCGATGGGTATTTGTCTTTGAACTATAGAATTGGCAGTTCAAACTCACCGAGCAGCTCCACAGGAGAAAGATGTGGCAGTCTGCTTCCATCAAGATTTACAGCCTTGGAAACCTGTTGGGGTGTTCTACCCTGTCCTATAGGTTTCATTGTGTTGGAGTTGATTCAATGGCAGGTTTTGTTTTGTTTTGATGATATAGCCAACATACTGACTTCAGTAGATTCACATGCCATTGGAGGATAAATACACCTACACAAATAACAATGTAATGTGGTAAATGCTAAGAGATGCCAACATGGGGGATTATAGTAGTGCATACAGGGGAGGGGGAAGTGCCTTTATGTCAAGTTATAGAGTAAGGATAGGGTGTTCAGGAAGAATTACCCAGGTGGATGGTGTTCTAGGTAAAAGAAGAATGTGCAAAAATACAGGAAATATGGCAAGTGTTTCAATTAGGTAGTGGCCATTGAGTCAGTTCATGGTGACTCCATGTGTTATACAGTAAAACTGATCCAAGGGTTTTGTTGGGTTTAATCTTTATGGTAACAGAGCACCAGTCCCTTCTTGCATAGGGCTGCTGGGTGAATCTGAACTTCCAATCTTTAGATGCAAATTAAGGTAAGGCTTTGTTGTTGTTATTGTTAAGTGCTGTCAAGTCAGTTCGGACTCATAGTGACTCTGTATAGGGTTTCCGAGGAGTAACTGGTGGATTTGAACCACTGACCTTGAGGTTCAAATAGACACTGCAATTGAGGGTTTATCCTACAGCACCTGTACAGGGTCGCTATGAGTCAGAACCGACTCCACAGCACATAACCACCACCACCACCCTACAGCACCACACCAGAACTCCAAAGCAAGGCATCTTCTTGTTGGCGTTGTTAAGTATTAAATAGTAACAATAACCAACAGTAACAATGGTAAGAGTAGATGCATATTTATTCTTAGTTTGTATACTAGGTACAGAGTCCTGCAAGGTCAGCAGTTCAAGCTCATCAGCTGTTCCTTGCAAACCCTATACAGGGTCGCTATGGGTCAGAATTGACTTGACAGCACTTAACAACAATAACAAACATACTAGGTACTGTTCAGAGTCCTGGTGTGGTGCTGTAGGATAAGCACTAGACTGCTATCTTCAGGGTTGGCAGTTCAAACCCACCATATTAGGGAAACTTTATATAGGGTCACTGGCACTTAAAAAAAAACAGTTCGAATGCACTTTACATTATTAACTCATTTAGTCTTTATAATAATCCTGTGAGATAGACTTTCACTTTCTTCTTACCCATAGGGCATTAAGGGCTACACAACTTAAGTACTTTTCCCCAGGTCACACAGCTAGTAGTTGCTGAGCTGGAATTAGAACCTCATCCAAACTCACCAAACACTGATGATCTTAATAAGGTGGCTTCATTGTAGCTGGAGATAAGTAAGCTATTTCAAAGTTAAATGAGATGAGGAGCAGCAGAGCTTGGGATATTATTTTCTCTTTGAAACTGATAAGGAGTAGGGATGATGGAGAAGCATACAAGCTTTAGGTTTCTTTGATGTGATGGCAGTTTTGCTGTTACCCTCGATAAAGAGGACACTTCCTTCACTAGCTTAAACAAAGTAAAACTTTTCTTTTGATATAATCTATACCTTTTGGTATAATTTCATACTGTGCATAAGCCTCTACTTCATTCTTCCCAAGCCTCAGGTGGAGTTGGAGATGCATGCACCAATTCAACTATGAGCCTGTTTCCACATCTGTAAAATGCCTTCAAAGTAGTTCAAACCGTAGTTGTGAATCAGAGTCACACATTCAGACACTTAAAAACAAACAAAAACTAGAATCCTCATCCTATTTCCAGAATAATTCTAAAGATTTCCAAGTGGAATCCTTGGATGGCACTAAACTACCAGCTGAAAGGGTGACTCACCTAGAGCCACCTTAGAAGACAGGCCTGGCATTTGCTTCTGAAAGGACACAACTTTGAAAACCCTGGGTAGCACAATTCTACTCTGTACACATGGTTCTCCCTGAGTGAGGGCAACAACAAGCCGGGCGATTCTGATGCACTGGCCAGACTTTGGTAACCAGATTTCTTGGTCCTTTCCAACCCAAGTCTACAGGCAGCTGCAGAATTCCGCAAGACCAAGCTCCGGACGACGCGGTTCCACTTGACCCTCCCTCTTCCGCAGCCACCTCCCACACAGCCCCGCCCCGCCCCTGCTTCCCTCCTCGGAGGTTTGGTCCCATCTCGTTTCCTCTCTCCCCGCCCCTCTCGCGTCCTTACTCCACGTGGTCTTTTCCAGTTCCGTTTTTCTTAGTTCGTCCCCCTAATCTCAAAATGGCTGCCGTGCTGGCGGGACTGGAGCCATGGAACCGCGTAAAGATCCCCAAAGCAGGGAGCCACACGTCAGTGACAGTACAGAACCCTGTCGCGGCCCTTGGTAAGTTTGCTGCTCCGGCAAGAAAGCGGCAGCAGCAGGAGAGGCAGACGGCTACAGCAAGTGCACGTGGGGCGAGAGGCGGGACTTCCTGAGCCCGCGGGACGTTGGGAAGGGGTGCGGCACCCTCTGGGGCGGCGTGAAGCTCGGATTGGGAAATTTACGGAGTAGCTTTGTGTTTTCTGCTTCTGTTTCTGGATTCCTTCACTAAACCAGCGCCCGGCTACATCTGTGTGGCTAGCATAGGGTCAGCCTGGAGCGATGAAGGATCGAGGCCCACCCAGTCCTGCGCCGAAAGGGCGCAGATGTGGACGCAGCTAGAGGGAAAAGCTTCCAGACAGCGTTGTACTTCTGTCACCAGGAGTTGTTTATTCCTCCGCGGATTTTCTAACTCCTGTTCCCGAGGAACTAGGGAAACCACTTAACCACAGTGGACATAAATCGCAATCTTTGTGGCCCCCATTCCTCACTTATAGAAATGGGGCTAGTTCTCCTTATCAATCACTGGTTGTTTGTTGTTAAGTGCCGTGGAGTCGATTCCGACCCACAGCGACCCTGTATAGGTTTCCGAGGAGCAGTTGGTGAGCTTGAACTGCCGACCTTGCAGTTCAACACGGCTTTGCAGTCTGGCGCATGAACCCACAACGCCACAACTGATTGTTGGAAGGATCTAAGAGTTTGGGATGGCGTGCGCTCTCAGTCTGTAGGCTGTATAGCTTGACGCTGGTGCCAGGTTAACTGGTTTGAATCTTTACTTTTACCTTTTGTTGGAGGGTGGGGGAATTGTTTAACCTGTGTCTTGCTGTTAAGTGCCATCGAGTTGGTACCGATTCAGCGACCTCCTATATTGTATAGGGCTTCCTAGGAGCACCTGGTGGGTTTGAACTGCTTATGTTGTGGGTAACTTACAGTAACAAACATACCAGGAGCCCATAACCTGTGCCCTAGTTTGCCCATTTTCAAATGGGGATAGAAATAGTTTCTGCGTTAAAGGGCTGCTTTGAGGAAATAATTATTTATCTGACTTGATAAACACTCAAACTAACAACGTGTTAGTAACACTAAGTGGTCAGCACTGGACTGGAAATCCTATACAAGGTCCATGTGAGTCAGAACCGACTGCACAGGACTTAACAAAACAAAAACAATCCTATCTAACCATCAGATCTCCCTACTAAACCTATAGTCCATCAATCCTACACAGTTTCATTTTCCCTCTTCCTCTATTCAAAAATTGAGTATAAAGAAACAACAACAAAAAAAACCCCCAATTCCATCATCATACAGTGACTCTAAAGGACAGAGTAGGTAGAACTGCCCCAAAGATTGTCCAAGGCCTGCCTGTATTTTTGATAAAGCTGTGATATTATTCTCTTGCAGTGCAGGGTTCCAATTCCTGGCCTTTTCCTTTTTTTTCCATGCAAGAAAAGATTTTAGAGTGATTTTTGGTAACATTTGGACCTAGGGCAGAACGCTCTCTTTCAATGAAGTCTTCTAATGAAAGGTCATCTTCTTTCTCTTCTTTATTTTCATCTTTTTTTAACACAAATCCAGGAGGAAGTCCATGATGATACATGGATAAATGCATATATCGCCCCCTCAAAGGCATACCCCAAACAAGTCATACTTGTTCTCAATAGCTTCAAGGAAATGCTTGCACACTGTTTTGAGTTTTTTCTTTTTTCTTTTCAGCCTCACCGTGCTTCTTGTTCACTACTTCTTCCAGTTTTTTCTCATCCTAGTTATCCATGGTATCTTTTTCAAGTGCTTCATCTCTTGCATCAATGTAAACACTTAGCTTCTCACATTTTCTCTCCAGAGTCAAGGCATGAAAGAACTTGCACTTACCTCCTTTGGTACACTGCCCTTACTTGAAGAATTCACATACCACAGATTTGGGATCTGCACCTTTACTTAGTTTTTGAGCAGCAACTACAGGTTTGAAGAGTTCGTTTGACTCCTGCAATTCCTTCTTCTTGTCATCTTCAATTTATTTTCTGCTTCACTTTGTGCTACCTGACGTGGATTTTGTTGATCAAATTTAATTTGATGGGTGACAGCCTTGATAAACTTCTGTTGCTTTGCTCCTTTCTTATTCTTTAGACCAAAAGTTTTGTCTTCGATGATCTTCTCCTTTTTCTGTTCTGCCTTTTTGCTGATGCCTGCCAGAGCCTGTTTCGTGGGGGGCATTGCGGAGACAAGTGGCAAAGGCCAGACTTAAGCACAGCTGGATACCGTCAGGGACTCTGGTCCCACTGCAGGAGGAGGAAGACAGAAGACTCCGTCGCCGCCCTTTTTTTATTGTATTTTTGCATGATGTCGAAATAGATACTATCTTATTAAAGTTTTTGCTTTAGACCTTTGCATTGCAGCTGTTGTTAAAGAATGCAGCCTCGTCACACTGTCACTGAAGACCCCAGCATTAGATGCAGAAACAGATGTGTTATGTGCCCTCATGTACAGCAATCACAACAGAATGGGGCACCACAAGCCACATCTAGCTCTCAAACAGGTGAGGAGGACACTCTGAATTTAACACCTACTTTGACACTTACTGTTTTGTCATCCATGAAAATCTTAGTGTTCCGTGTATTTCTTCAACAGTTGTGTGTGAATTTTATTTTTTTCTGAAAGTATTTCACAAATTGATTTATGTTAGAAAATATGGTCACATCAAGTCTTTCTAAGTCTTATTTCAAGTGGCTCAGTAGTATTTTTTCTGAGAAAACTTTAAAATCACATATAATGGATAATAGTGCTTTTGTTCAGCTTGAGAAGCCCTCGACTGCCACTCAGGTCAGCAGTTTGAACCCAACAGCTACTCTGCAGGACAAAGATGTGCCAGTCTGCTTTCTTAAAGATTTACAGCTTGGAAACTTTATGGGGAAATTCTCCTCTGCCTGAGAGGGTTACTATGAGTTGGAATTGACTTGATGACAATGTTTTGTTTTGTTTGCGTATTTCTTCTGAAGAAGATAAAATGTTAGACATTATGGAACAATTACCTGAGCACAATCAAACTCCTAAAGCCTTAAAAAAAGGACAAAGTTGTAGGTGATTTATTGTATGATATTATAATCTGGTAAATAGAATAGTAGAGCAATTGGGTTGGGTATGTAAAAAGTTTTGGTATAAGGCGTTTTCTTGAAATATTTGGAGCGTAAAACAAAATTGGACCCTCCAAGATCAGGGCTTTGAATTTCTTTACTTTTGAAAGGGGTTAAAAAAATATATTCTTTGTTATTTAGTATATTGTCATACTTTGAAATCTCTATCTATTTGCCTTCTTGGTCACATTATGTATATATTGCACTGTCTGCAGTATATACATAGGAACTGAGCTGCTCATTTTCCTTCCAGGTTGAACAATGTTTAAAACGTTTGAAAAACATGAATTTGGAGGGCTCAATTAAAGATCTTTCTGAGTTGTTTTCTTCCAAGTAAGTGATCGGTTGCTTATGGCATGGTGGACTGGGAACTTGTTGTCTTGTGGTTTTCTTTTGGGCTTTTTTCTGATGGGCCTTATAATTGGAGTATAACCAATTATACCTCCATTGTACAAATCCTGTTTTAACCAACCTCTTGGAAATCCTGTACTGGGTCCGCTGTGAGTCGGAACTGACTCAACGGCACTTTAACAGCAACAATTTGGTACTTGTGGTAATAAATATCCTTCCACTGGTCTGTGGGAGAGACTGGAGGGACACTGAAATCTGGGCCACAATAAGTTGTAATGAAATGCCTGCCAGTGGTTGTTATTAATCATAGCAACCTCAGATTAATTTTAAAGCAAGTCTACATTTGAAAATTACTATATAAATATTTAAAAATGAAGGTAAGATACTTTTCTTCTTCTTCCAGTGAAAGTCAGCCTGTAACTACCAAAAAATGTATCATCATCCCCAGTCAACCACTGGTAGAATTGGTGTTGATGAAGGTTTTGGGAGCCTGTAAGTTACTACTCCGCTTGTTGGACTGCTGTTGTAAGACATTTCTGTATCCTTGATCAATTTAAGTATCTTCTTCCAACTCAGAAATGTTTGGATATATTTATTACTATTGCTGTCTAAAAGCTAGAACTCTGTGGAAGATAAAACCTTTGGGGGGAGTTCTTTTAAAAACTTAGCTTCTTGGCCTGCTTTTCCCAGGAATTGCCTATCTAGCTGGTAGTATCCTCAGAGCATTATTAGTTTGAAGCACTTAATCTTAGAAACAAAACTTTAGAAATTAAATTTAATATTGGGACTCTAGTAGAATGTGTATTAATTTTTGTTTCCATCACCTAAATTGAACGTGTTTTAAGACCTTCAAGAAAACTCTTTTACTTTAAATCTGTTCTTCTATAAACAAAACAGATAAAACTCAAAATTACTTTGTTTTTGTTTTCTAACCTTAACTTGATTCTCTAGTTTGACCGTGAAACACCTTGGTTTGCAAGAATTCATTATTTTAAACCTTGTGATGATTGGACTGGTGAGCAGGTTATGGTATGTACTTGGCCTTGTAGTTTTCATTTTTTTCATCTCAGTCTAGGCTTCTCAGTAGTTTTCTTGTGGGATGCTGAAGGAAGCTTTCTTCATTTGATCAATTTCTTTGGGGTTATGTCAAAATCTGGGCTTTGAATATGAAGCCATGAAATCAATTTAACAGCAAACAACTCAAATTAGTTACTAGGATTAGGGACTGGAATAGTGAAGCATAGTGACAGTGATTATACAAGCACCTGGACCACTTACAGTGTTCTTGGGGTGGTTATGCCACTTGATTCATTCAGCCACTAGGTTTTGATTTTTAATGGCAATGAGAACTGTAATTTTTTACTTTCTGTGTGTGTTCTAGCCATCTTTTCTTCTACCTGAAACACAACTGTTTTCTGAGACATATTTGATTGATTTAAAGAACACTAGTGGTTGGTTAGGGTTAGAAGAGGCTGTGGAATGAGGGATTTCATTGCTGATGTCCGACGGATCTTGGCTGAAAGCAGAGAATATCA